GATAAAAGTAAAAATAGCAGAAAATACACAAAAAAAATCAGAAGTTGAGACCGTTACAAAAATTTGCAAATTTGCAAGGGGATTCCTAGAGAACCTTCATAATTCAAAACAAAGAATCGTTGAGAGGTCGGAATTCAATTTCAATAGTACACCTTAATTGTGGAGTAAAAAGTATGAACCATTTGGAAGATTTTTCTGCTTCACAAATTGTGAATAACCGGATGCCCATCTATTTAAGTACTTGTAAAATTGACCAAACGAATGAGTTAGGTAAAGAAATTCAATCAAGTAAGGTTCTAAAATTAAAAATAAAGAGAAATATTCAGGTAATCACCTTTGAAATGGTGGGAATCCACACAGCATCACGTATAGAATCACTCCTGTCGCCCAAATGTCCACCTTTTCATCGTAACTGAAAAATAACAACCATAGAAAACCTCTCAAAACCAGCGGACTATGGTGTAAGAAAAGAGATTTAGTTCAAGAATAAAGCTTTAAAGTTGTTGTAAACTATAACGAAAACAGGTAACAAGATCACTTAGGTTTTCAAAACTAACCCCGTTTCCAGAATGACCTCCGACGCTACATATGTTGGCGTACCGCAAATTACCGTCAGTTTTCCTCCATCTTCAGGTAACTCAGTGGCCAAGCCAAAGTCAGCAAGTTTCAACTCGAACTCACCATGTGGAGCAGTATAGAGCTGAACGTGCAAAAATGAGAAAGCCTCTAAGTAAAACACAGAATACCATGTAATAGTACCCAATCCATAATCAAAATTAAAAATCTATAACTCACCAATAAATTTTCTGGTTTCACATCTCGATGAACTATAGAATTGTCGTGAAGATACCTAAACTAAGAAATCCATGTACTGTATGTGGAACGCTAAAAATGAAGAGAAAGAAAAGCGAAAGACAAGGCGATTGCAAAAAATCTATACTGAAGCAGTTAATGAGCGATTCTACAATTACTTATAGTATAACGATCAAGCACGATTAGCATTACGAGGAACATTTTAAACAATTCAAAACAATTTTTAATTCCAAACTTACGTCAACGCTTGTGCTAAGCCCTTGGTCAGACGGGCAGCTTGACGTTCGCTTATCCGCCTTACAACGCAGAGATGTTCAAACAGGTCGCCCTGAATTAGAAGTGGTATTGCAACTTGTAAAAATTCGAGTCCTTTTACAAAAAGGAATGTTGCAAATACAATAACAACGATAATGCACAGTACTAAAGAGCAAATGGATAGCACAAGAGAAGGATATTGTTTAGGCAACGGTAAGTAAGAAAATTAGAGCACAAAGTAAAAAAACGAAAAAAAAACATGAAACCGTGAGTTTCTCGCTAGCTCGAAGACATTCTCTCTTGGTCTCCAATTCTTCTGATTCTTCTAGACTTTAGTGGCTACTACTTCTCTTCCCATTTTCCTCCCCCCCCCTCCCCTTGAAACCCTTATCTAGTGTTGCACTGTGGTCCCAAAAGGTTCCCCGGAAAGTTAGTCGACGTTTATCCCAAAAAAAAACGTGCGGCTCGGGTAGTACATAATAAAAAAACATTCACGACCTCAACAAAATGTGCGAAAAGGTACTTTCCTACCTCAACCAGTTCCAGTGACAGGTAATAAGCGCCGTCAATTGTCCAGTTGTCAAACATTTGCACAATGAATGGGTGTTCGATCCGTTTCATGATGGCCAGTTCGCTTTCAATCAGCGCAATCTTTCCAACGGCCGAGTCACGCGCAATCACTTTCAACGCGCCATGTTCTTGCGTCCGTCTGAACAGTTACATTACATACCTCGAAAAAAAAAACAGAAAGGGAAAAGACTATAACAGACAAAAAAGAGCAAAAAAACACTCATTGGGAACATAGAAAACCTAAAGAGGCATCAGTCTGGAAACAACTTACCGATCCATGACCTCGTACACAAGCGCGGTGTTGCCATCACCGAGCAATCGTAACACAGTGAATCTCTCATCCAGTTCAGCAGGGAGATTGCGTGCTGTAAAAAAGCGATATTCCTAAACGGAATAACGTGGCCATATTTATTATGTATAAGCAACCCCGATTCAGCAATCCAGGGTAATCCCGGGCGGGCAGCCTTGAAGCATTCCATAAGTCCCTGATGGCTGATACCCTTCCAGGCTCACTGCTCTAACAGCGCAAGTCCAATGCGCAAGGAACAAGCGGAGACGGCCTTTGATTATCTCTAAACCCCGTTAACGCACAAACCCTGGTTGACAACTCCAAATGGATTAAAATGAAGGAAAACCAACGGAGATCCTCAAAAATGTTCCTTCAAAAGGGGTAAATACCTACAAGAACAGGAAAATAAAAACGCATCAGAGGTGCAATAGGAGTAGCCCAAACAAAAATCAGCGGAGGTTCTAACTAGGCAATCGAGGAACAAAAAATAATACAAAAGTAAGAAAAAAAGATAAGAAGTATTAATTAAGGAAAAACATACCTAACTCATCTGGCACCACACTACCACAGCGATCATCCCGCAGACTTTCATTTCGAGCTGGCATCACTCGTGGACGAGAGGTCACACCTCGTCGACCACCACGACGTACTCCACCAGAATAGAGGCGTTTATACTCTAAAGAAAAAAAATGAGACCTCGCTTGACCGCTAAAAGTACCAGGGGTATTTTTAGATAGAACTCTAAACCCTAACCGCTGCTCCTGAGTCAGTTGGCATCACCTTTAGTCAAATTATTTGAGTTCTACTCAGTTGTGTATTAATTAACCACAAACTGAACAACAAACTAAATAGAAGTAGTATAGTAGGCACTGTAAAAATGTCTGTAAAATAAAGCACAAAATTCCAAACACAAATTCAAAGGTCTTTTACTCTCCAAACCTAGTCTAGACAATTCATTACCGCAACGCTCGAATGCCCAGCATCACTAATTCGGATACCACCCTAATCAGACCTACCATAGATTCATGTCAAATTTTTAATTCATCCATATTCAAAAAAACATTTAAAGGAAAAGTATGTCAAAAAATATGAAAAGAAACAAAAGTAAAAAAAAAACTCTTGAACTTTCTTCAAGTATGAATTACCACACAAACGGTTCAGAGTTATAAGGGGATATGTTAATCAACAATACACCGTTATTTCGCGCATGAAAAAGCAATCCTACTATATATAAGCGGCTAGCGTGTGTCTGTTGGTGTGTGTGTGTGTGTGTGTGTGTGTTTGACCGGAAATTCATAGCTCGAGTCACAGTAACGATAGCGCAGTGGTTCTTACATATGTTATAGGGGGTGGGATGGGGACACAAGTGGTACGTGATAGGAACTGATAACGACTGATAATAGCTGATAAGAGGGCTAGAAAGCGAGCATCGCCAATTTCGTTTTGTCGTTCATATTGGTACTAGAGCGTCTATACTTACAAGTCTTATGTGGGGCGGTCCCGGGACATTGGTGGTACATGATTGGAAGCGATAGCAACTGATAAGGGCTGATAAGATGCGCTAGAACGCAAAAGTCGTCGATTCCGTTGCCTGGCTCGCGTTGACACCAGAGCAACCATACTTACAAGTGTTATGTGGGGTGGGACGGGGACATTGTTGGTGGGTGCCAGAAACTGATAACGATTGATAAGGGCCGATAAGGCGCGCCAGAACGCTGAAGTCGTCGATTCCGTTGCCTGGCTCGCGTTGACACCAGAGCAACCATACTTACAAGTGTTATGTGGGGTGGGACGGGGACATTGTTGGTGGGTGATGGAAAGTGGTTACAACTGATAAGGGCTGATAAGGGGCGTCAGAACGCAAAAGTCGTCGATTCCGTTACGCAGCTTGCGTTGACACTAGAGCGTCCATACTCGCAGGTGTCAGGTGGGGGGGGACGGGGACATTGTTGGTAGGTGATGGAAAGTGGTTACAACTGATAAGGGCTGATAAGGGGCGTCAGAACGCAAAAGTCGTCGATTCCGTTACGCAGCTTGCGTTGACACCAGAGCGTCCATACTCGCAGGTGTCATGTGGGGTGGGACGGGGACATTGTTGGTAGGTGATGGAAAGTGGTTACAACTGATAAGGGCTGATAAGGGGCGTCAGAACGCAAAAGTCGTCGATTCCGTTACGTGGCTTGCGCTGACACTAGAGCGTCCCTACTTACAAATTCTATTTGTAGTGGTACGTGCACACTGTATCATTGTATGACCAGCCTACTTAATAGCAGTCTATTGCATGAATTCAATCAAGTCTTCAGCAAATGATAACTTTCATTCCTATCAAGAAAGCCCAAACTCATTAAACCGCTAATCCTTTCGGGGTTCTAAATAATGGTGAATGTAAATAAATGATAAGCCTTAGCTCCTCACTTATGTAAATAGGCATATTTCATTTTCATTTTGAGACTGACAGCAATCCTATTCACCGCTAAATTATCTGAATTCAAGAAGAATGCTGGATGTTTACAGTTGTGAGATAAATATGCCAGTTCAGCTCCAGACGTTATCACGCGTATTCTCGATGGACTTCAGCGAAACTGGGAAAAATCTAACACATTCAATAGTGAGGTGGTTAATGGAGTACCACATGCTGATATTCCATGGACCCTCCAGTTTCGCTAAAGCCTGCCGTGTGATGCGCGCGATAGCGGGCGGAGCAAAACTGGTAATGATATCAAAAGAAAACGAATCACGGAAACAAAATCGATGATACTAATTTAGCGGCTGCGGGACTGCCCCAACACCTTGTCCTAGAAAATGTGAAAACGAATTGCGGTGTAAAGCAACGGTACGGTGATTAACAGAGATTTGCAATCATCTCTGAGAAGAAAAAATCCTGGCGAGAATGTGTAAACTCACTTAACGGATCATTGCGGGTACGATGTGAAGCTTTTTTCACCATGGATTTTATTTCAAAAATATTACAGAACGTCAATTCGCAGGTTAATGTCCAGAAAAGAAGGCTGCTGAGGGAAGCACTTCAGAAAGGGTCGCTGGACTGAATAAATTCTAGCCACCCACTTGACGGTCTATTAGAATCAAACAGGAAAGTGACCTGATCGATTTCTTCAAATTCGCCGGAAAGTCACTTCATCTATCATCCGCTGGCCAAAAAGCAACCCCATGACTAACCATTCTCCATAAACTAGTAGCGTTTGATGATTCATTGTTTACTATTCCTTGCGGCCCATTTGAAAGTCCTCGAAGGAAAGAAGAGAGAAGGAAAGAATCAAGTTCCCTTCGCGACCCTCAACGTAAAAGTCGTCGGCGCTGGCCCTTTCGTTACCATATGCTATGAAAACATCGTCTTCTCGAAAAAAGTCTTGCAATGTGAGCACCTTAAGATGATTTGAAATCGAACAATTCCCTCCAAAAAACGGAGAGAAAACTCAGATTAGGAAATGAACTCACCGCACTGCCCCCTAAAGCGAACAGTTTCCGGATAGCACCACTATCAAGCTTAACCACACACGTGAGATCCGTCATGACCTGATCGAACGATCTAAAAGCTGACTCGTTCATGCCTTGAACAGGCTCGAAAATCGCTACACTAATCTCAGCGTCTTGAACAGGCTCGAAAATCGATACACTAACTAAGAAAGATCATATCAATTCTTTATTATTGATTCAGCACATCACTTTGGGTTGGAAACCTTATGAGTATTTGCGCGCCGAAAACAAAAGCACTTGGCCATACGCATAAATTACTAAATAAATTACAAACAGAAAAAAAAATTCAGAAAGATACCAAATGAGAGAATGGGAAGTCACCTTGCCGTCTTCTTATTCAAGAGATGGCGAACAACTCTTCGTGGCTTCACACCATTACGGATTACGGTGATGATACGTGGAAACACAAAGTGGGTAGGTTCGACCTTAAAGTGAAACATGACAAAGTAGAATCCCGTGAAAATCCAAAAATGATAAAGAAAGAACATAACAACATATCTAAAGAAAATAACTAAAACTTGAAAAAGTGTGGATTATCAAATTCCTCCCGGCATTTCTCATGGCCCGGGAAGCTTTTAGAACTGAGGCTAAACTCTATCTGGTAGTGTTTGTGGATAGAAAAAGTATTTCTAGCTAGCCTAGTTGACTAGGTGGTAGGAGAGAAATGAGAGCAGCGACCAACAGCTCTAGCACAAAAATTGATTAAATCATCATTAAAATTAAAATACAAAATTAAATAATTAATTAAATAAAAATACTCAAAATAAAAATAACAAAATTAAATTAGATCAAAATAATAATAATAATCCGTATCAGGTATTTTGCCATTCCAATGAATCAAACAATGCATTCAATACAAATGTTATCAAAGGATTTCCCATCAACAGTGAAAAATTAAAATTTGGCTGAATTTCTGCTTCAGTGCTTTGAATGCCAACCACCGTGAAATCGATGGTATACAATATGCGCAATAAAAAGTCGGTGGCATAATGACACACCATTGCAATCCCATTCCCGTTCCCAAAGTCGATGTCAAAAAGGCTACGGCCACCCAAGCATTCCTCGGTAGAGGGAATTACGCATTGTGTAAGGATCCAGCAGTAATTATGCCGAAACGCTAGCAAAAATTCCATGAAAACGCAAGCGCGCCAGTAGAGGTGAGGAAGGTTTACCAGCGTCCTGTTTCATACCTTACTATCTTGTTAAACCGAATCAAGTTTCCGGAATCAAATCGAAACCTGCTCCAAAAGGAACTTAGATTTCCTACTTTCATGGAATACCAGGGTCGCAATCGCTTGTCACATAAAAAGTTGCAGAGTAAAGAGGCAAATTCCTTGAAAGCAGTGTCATGACTTCTTGAAATTCCTATAGGAATTAATCAGCTCTTTATGCACAAATCAAAGTACCAAGGGATTAATTGTAGATTTGGACTATTGCAGATTTCTTTCAATACTTTTTTCTCCTTACACTTTTCAGTGCTTTTTCACGCTTTATAC